GCTACTTCGTCGAATCGTTTACTCGAACGCCGTAATCGAACCGCTTCGCTCGGCTACTTCGTCGAATCCGTTGCTCGGCTACGTCGTCGACAATCCCCTATATGCGGCCGCGTTTGCTCGGAGAGACAATGTCTGCTCCGTCTTACACTCGGCTACGTCGTCCAATCGTTGTTACACGCGGCTACGTCGTCGAAGCGCTTCACTCGAATCCTTCTTACACGCGGCTGCGTGTGCTCGGACAGACAATCTCTGCGCATTCGTGCACGCGGCTACTTCGTCGACTCGTGCGTACACGCGGCCGCTTTGGTCGACGCGTTTGCTCGGGGACACAATCTCTCGTCCTTCGTACGCTCGGACAATCCGTCCCGCGCACCGCGTCACTCGGATAAGGGCGAGTACCCGGCCGCGTTGCTCGACGCGTGTGCTCGGAGAGACAATCTCTCCTCCTTGTTGCACTCGACTACTTCGTTGAATCGTGCTTACACTCGGCTACTGCTTCGAATATTTGTTACACGCGGCTACATCGTCGAATCCTTCTTACACTCGGTCGCGTTTGATCGGAGACAATTCGGTTTACGCGGCCGCGCTTGCTCAGAGAGACAATCTCTCCTCCTTTCTTACACTCGAACAATCCTTCGTCGAATCGGTCTTACACTCGGCTACTGCTTCGAATATTTCTTACACTCGGCTACTTCGTCGAATCGTGGTTACACGCGGCTACGGCGGTCGACGCGTTTGCTCGGAGAGACAATCTCTCCTCGTTTCTTACACGCGGCTACTTCGTCGAATCGTGGTTACACTCGGCTACTTCGTCGAATCCTTCTTACACTTGGCCGCTTTGGTCGACGCGTTTGCTCGGAGAGACAATCGCTCCTCCGTGTTACAATCGGACAATCCTTGGTCGAATCGGTCTTACACGCGGCCGTTTCAATCGGAGACAATGCCCTGCTTCTGACACTCGACGACAATCTCGTTTTACCCGACCGCGTTTGCTCGGAGAGACAATGTCTCCCTCCTTTCTTACACTCGGCTACTTCGTCGAATACTTGTTCCGCTCGGACCAACCCTTTGCTCGTAGAGACAATCTCTCCTCCTTATTACACTCGGACAATCCTTCTTCGAATCCGTCTTACACTCGTCGACAATGCGCTTTACACTCGGACCGCCCCGTTGCTCGGAGAGACAATCTCTCCTTATACTCGAAGGCTTATTCGCATGCTGTATGTGTTGTGCACTATACCCTTAGAATGCACTTGCTCATGTGTTAATAATTAACTTCACATAAAGGACAATACTGCGCCTTCATATTATTCATTTAAATCTACATTTTATATGCATGTAACCGCTACAACCGGAAGCGTATAGTCATAATAAAAGAAGTTGACTACACACAAAAAGAACAAAACAAGGCAAAAGGCAGCACACGTACGCAGAACAGAGCAGAAAAAAAAGAACGTATGGAATAGTGCAAACAAGAAATATATTATGTATATCACATAATGAAGTCAACGTGGTGTACGGATAGCATGCGTTATTGGCCATGCATGAGGGCCGTCATACTAATGTGAAAACTGTTGCAATAGATCATCCACATATAAGTCCTTGTGTTGCATACTACTCTCGAGCTCGCACTCCTCAATGATTAATGCCAAGATCAGTATCCATGTTTGAGCGGTTAACCGTTTTTTCATGTAAGTTTGCCGATGCAGCGGTTGCGTGCCTGGCGAAGTTCTCACTCTTAGCATATGTTCTGCGGCCATTACTTTTTCCACTTCTAAGTCTTTTTCGACTACTGATACTTCGCCTTTGTGCGTTGCTGTCGCCTCCTGTACATTATTCAACAAATGTTGAAACCACTCCTCCTCACCATATATATGCATAAGCGCATGTTGTTTTGCAACCCATTGTTTCCACAACCGCACTTTCTTCATCGGCAGGATTGCAGCTTCACCGAGTTCACTATTGCCGGATACTCCGTTGTCTTCGTGTTCCGCCATGTGCTCGCGCAGGTATTGTTTCCAATCCGCTTTTAATTGCAGAAACCACGGCTGCGTCGTGCACGCCCGCACAATATCTTTGTTGCGGTCAATCCAGTTAATCCATTGGGTGCAGTACGTCGTCACGTGGTCGCGGTTGGAATGAGCACGACTCTGTTGTGCATCTAACTGCATGGTTTCCATACAATTCCATCGGTCCTCTGCGTTAGGTGCACAAGGGTCCGTGTCTAACGGTATGGTTTCCATACAACTCCATTGATCGGGGTCGTGTTCATTCGCTGGACAAGGGTCCGTTCGTGCGATGTCAGTGGGTGGATCGAGCATGGAGGATGCATTGATCCCTGATAAATCCTGGTTTGTGATAGGAGCATCCAAGGAACTACTATAGCCCTGGCCGCACCGCATCAAATCCTGCGCAAACTGCTCCACGACAATCTGCAAATAGTCGTCTTTGACGTTTTCCCATTCGGCCGCTTCACATTCGTGTAGCACTTCTAAGTGTAGCTCGATGATCGTGCGCTTATGCACGCGTGGGGGGCGTTGTCCGCGGCGGTCGGCAAATTTATCGCGACCTCGTTCCCTAATTATCGTGTACCCGTAATCGGGTGGCGGTAGTTCGCCGCGTTGTAAATGCTCCAATATTTCGTCGTCGAGTGGCGGTGACGGCACGTCACGAACGGTTCGATATGTGCGTCGTCGTTTTTTTCCGAGGTGCGCAAAGTACTAAGGAGAAAAAGGGGAGTAAAGAGCAGGGTGGGCACGGTAGGATAAAAGGAATGAACGAGGGTGTAGGAGTACATTTGTGTTCGAACGATCATATATGGGAGCCGGTTGGGACGTTCTAAGGT